ATTGAAAGGCATCAATTCTGCTTCTGTCTTCCTTTTTCATTTCCCAGATTTTATATGCATACAAGGCAATTGAAAATACTGTGGGTTGGGTCATGGTATTTTCAATTGCCTCATAGTCATCAAGTGACATCTTTGCTTTTTAAGATTTTAAAGAGGTCCTTTGCAGCAGATTTGCACAATGCAATATTTTGTTTGAATTATTTTTCTTTTATCCTTTAAAAAAAAAAGAAAGAAAGAAAATTATTGTGATTTGGGTGAAAGTTTACAGAGCAAATTCATTTTCCATACAGCAGTTCATACACATTTTGTTTCATGACATTGACTATAATCCCCACAGTGTAATAGCTCTCTTCCCACTACCTCCCTGTAGTTACCTCTTCCTTATGTTCCTCTTTCCTATGCATTCTGCCCTCCTGAGCTATCTCCCTGTGCAAATACTGCCCTTCTGCTCTCCCATGATTGATCATTCTAAGGAGTGTATCTAAGTATATTCATCATTCTAAGGAGGGGGACAACAGAGCAGAGCAGCAGCCAGGCATCCAGTTAAGGAGAGGGAGGGAGCCAGGCCCCACCCCCACCATCCAGGAAAGTGGAGGAAGGAGAAGACAGAGGGGACAACAGAGCAGAGCAGCAGCTGGGCATCCAGGAATGGAGGGACCTAGACCTCACCCCCACCAGCCAGGAAAGCAGGGGAAAGAGAAGCTAGGGGAATAATAGAGCAGAGCAGCGCCAGGGATCCAGGTAAGGAGAGGGCGGAGAGGTTTCAAACAGCTAAGCAAGACAAACTTGTCTGTCAGTTTGTTGTACTATTGTGGCCTGTGTGTTGCTGTGAGGCTTGAGGCTGTGCCACCAGTATTTCAAGTGCTGGCAGGGTTGCACATGGTGTACTAGTTTCAATGCAGCTTACAGACTGACACACACTGGGAAGAAGGAAGAGGCCATCCACTTCTCAAAGAATTGGCCAAGGAAAACCTTATAAATAACAGAGAAATGCTATCTGTTACATTACTGTGCAACTTTATAAATAGCCTGGAAACATTATCTGATAAGAGTTCAGAAGGATGAGCTCCTTAAGTCAGAAGGCTTTCAAAATATGACTAGGAAAGAGCTGCATCATCAGAGTAGGACCAACTTTACTGATATGGATAGAGTAAAGCTTTCAAGACCTCCATTTGCTGACATAACACAACTCAAATTGAGGAGAAACAGCTGCAAACACCTATTAATAATAGGAACATGGAATATACAAAGTATGGATCTAGAAAAATTGGAAGTTGTCAAAAATGAAAGAGAACACATAAAGATTGCTATGTTAGGCATTTGTGAGCTGAAATGCACTGGTTTTAGTCATTTTGAATCAGATAACCATATAATCTACTATGCCAGGAATGACAGTTTGAAGAGGAATGGCATGGCATTCATTACTACAAAGGATGTTTCAAGATCTGTCCTGAAGTCCAATGCTGTCAGTGATACAATAATATCCATAAGCCTACAAGTAAGACCAGTTAATACGACTATTATTCAAATTTACGCACCAACCACCAAAGCCAAAGATGAGGAAATTGAAGATTTTTATCAACTTCTGTAGTCTGAAATTGACCAAAAATGCAGTCAAGATGTGTTAATTATCACTGGTGTCTGGAATGTGAAAGTTGGAAGCAAAGAAGAATCATGGGTAGTTGGAAAATTTGGCCTTGGTGACAGAAATATCACTGGAGATCGCATGATAAAATTTTGCAAGACCAATGACTTATTCATTGCAAATACATTTTTCAACAACATAAACAGTGGCTATACATGTGGATTTCACCAGATGGAGTACACAGGAATCAGACTGACTACATCTGTGACAAGAGACGATAGAAAAACTCAATATCTTCAGCCAAAACAAGGCCAGGAGCTGATTGTGGAACAGACCATCAACTGCTCATATGCAAGTTCAACTTGAAGTTGAAGA